GTCTTTTGTTTTGTTGAAGTAGTGTTCTGCACAATCCTCTCCTAATTCCGCCTCTCTTTGATGAAAAATAAACCAGACAAGAGAAGTGTCGGGCCTGTCTCTCTTCGTTGGAGTCCATTCGCAGTGCCTTCGAGTCTAAGGAGGTGACCATCAAGGCCGGACAGTGCGGTCGTGAAGTTGTAGCAATGTTTTCCTTGTTGGAGTGAATGTTTGGCCTGCAAGTTCGCGTCGAAGCTACGAATCCTTTTGGTGTTGACCGCTTCCGTTGCCCATCACATTTATCTACGCATTTAACTCCAACATCTGCACCATATTTCTGCCTTTTATTTTTTTGCCGAACGGGCTGTGAGCTTTCGGAGCAATTCCGTTTTTTGCATTTTTGTGCCGTTCCTTCACTGTCCCCTAACGACTCCCGGATCCAGTTTTCCTTCATTTCTTTGTCCTATCACTCCTCCCCTGCCCACTTTCGTCTTATAATGCGGTGAACTTCACTGTTTATGGTCGTCTGCTGTTGTGCCAAATGGGCATTGACACGCACTTGTACATAAGATACGCATGCACATGTTCACCCTACTATTTTCTTACCTACTAACTTGGGTCCCAGTACAGAAGTTTTTTCTCTCGGCCTGTGTCATCTCAGCTTCCCCCGGAAACGGTCCTCGTACTACCATTTTGCCATTTTAGGTGTGTGCACTTCGTGTGTCGAAAATAGAGGTCATGGATCTAATTTTATATCTCGGAGGTTAGCGGACGTATATCGTAGGCGAGTCTGTCATAGAGCTGTGAAATTGCCACTGAACTCCACGATGCTCCAGCCCTAGGTAGATTTCTGCATTTGCACTACCTTTGTCATGAGGAGTCGAGAGTTGTCAAGCGCCTGCAGCGACCTTGAATTAGTCATAATGAAGCGAGAAAGCCAGTGAGTGAACGGCGACTTGTCTCCTGCCTGGTAAACTCGTTGGAGTGATCTGTGAAGTTTCGTGGGTTTATGATTTACTAGACTCCCAGCCTGGCGTCCTACAGTCAAATGGGATGCCGAGCTTCGGCGCCGTGTCTAAACAGACCTAAATTGTAAAACATTCATGTCGTGAGAATGGCTGACAAGCACCTGTCTAGACGGATTTTCCAGTAGGAAGTCACTAGGGACACAGTAGTGCCACTTTATTGTCCCGGTCCTCCCAATCAAACTCGTCCAAATCACTCATGCATCAATTTGGCAGTGAAATCCGCTAGCATCGTCGGCGGCGGGAGGACTATCGTACGTATACGAGTTTCGGGCCACGTAAACCGTTACGCCGATGCTCATCCCCGAAAAGCTTGACTCGGAATGGGCACAGAGACACTCGAAAGGAAATTGTGCGATCATACCAGCTTGGGTCAGGTGTTTAGTTTCCTCGCCCAGGCGTTCAAGCATGCTCTGAAGCTACCTTGACGCGTTTAAAATCGCGGTGTCGAGGGTTGCCAACGTAGTTGGCAGTCACTGTGGCCTCCATGGCTCCCTCAAATATAACCGGAGACCCCTTGCGGAGCCCCGCATATCTGTATTTGGCGAAAAATCCGTGCGCGGCGCGCGTAGACGAGCGGACTGGCTTCGTCAGCTACCACGCTTAAGTCCAAATACCGCCAGCGTAACTTTGTTCTGCCGTCAGAACGCGGTGGGTTGTGGCCCGAGGGATTTAGACAGCAGCGGTGCAAACCTGCTTCGCAATAGACGAATACATGCGAAAGTCATGGCAGCACAAATCTCGTAGGAGCTTTGGAGTACATTGCAGATTCCGCCAGAAGATTAGCATATTGGCACACAACCCAGATTCCAAATAAGTACTCAGCACTTGTCATCATTAACCGAAGGAGACGAGCACGCTAACGTGTGACGCGTCGAAGGATTAACTATGAAGGCGCTGCTTCGGGGGCACCGCCAGGAAACATTTCAATGTCAAAAACGAGAAGGGAAGGACGAAGATTCGTCCGAGAGACAGCGTTATACGAACCCCAAAGCAGTAAATGATTGGTCTTACACATGAAAGTCAAGACTTTGATTTGGCTCTTGGCTTTGATCGCCGCCTTGGCGAAATTGCCAACCTCGTACACCGCAGTCCTCCGCGGTTCCCTGCGACGCCATCGGCTGCTCCTGCACCTTATGTATCAGGACATTTCCTTTGTTGCTTTTCTTAGAAAAGCAGAGATGGACACTGAGGCACGGCCGCATCTGCTGTATGACCTTTTTCACCATCGCACATGGAGCTGTCATTGTGGTCAATTGAGAAGCATCTAATTCAAACAGATACCTCCATGGGGTTTTCTAGATGCAGCGTCAAGAATCCGAGTTCTTTTTGCAGAGGCTTGCGTGTCATCTGAGGCCCAACAGCCATCCGCCAATTTTGCAGTGGTTAGAGGGCTGAACGACCGACATGGTGCGTGATTCATCTGTCTCATGCCGTTGATGGTAGGACATGTCTCAATCACATACATCGGCGTTTCCGATTCCCGAGACAAGGCAGCGTTTGCCCCAGGTCATAAGACTCAAGAACTTTGTGGATAGATAATATTGCTTTACTTGAATTCAGAAACTGTGACTTCCTCTAAAAGTGCCAGGAAGATGGACTTCGGATAATCAATAATTTGCCACACTACAAGGATAGCCACGGGCTGGGCCACTTCTCGTGTCCGGCTGGACACAGTACGTTCTGGGAGACCCAGCATCCTGGAGAGCAATCAAACTTGCCATCTTTTCGTCAGCAACGCTGGACTATGGTTGCAAAGTGCGACGATTCCCGCGGTGGTAGCACTAGTTAAGGCACCTTATGGACTTATTATAGCCGTCCTGTCGCTACCAACTTTATTTGACTGAGGCCATTGCCTCTAACAGTTCCTCTCTTGAAACCCGTCAAAGTTCACATTTTAAGAGAATACACTAAATGGCAGTTCGTAAACGCCGTGTCAAAGTCCCCTTGTCAGATCGTGTGATCGAGGTGCAAGCCCTGAAGCCTCACCCCTTTTCACCCACGCCTGGTAGTTATGTCACTGCTGGTCCTAGGCTGCTCGAATTCTAAGCTTACGATCTTTATTATCTCGAGACTGCTGATACTCAGCCGTCCGTCACCTGGTGGCCCGCCGACTAACTAGTAATCAGGCTTGTTCAGTCAACCCGACCACCGAACGAGCAAAGCCACCCCTCTATGTATGACATGTCCAAATAACTTCTGCGATGTCTTTGCCTGGAGCAGAAAAATTACCACACACCATCTAGTTTGAGCTTCATAAGAAAGCCCGACTCGAACAATCACATGCCTATAAGAAACTATTCACGCTAAGTGTCTGCCCGCAGACTCGGCCGAGTTGTTAATAGAACCGGATGTGCCAGCGCCGAACAAGCTTGGTGTGGTTTTACCAGCAGATAGCATCTTGGTCTCGCCACTTTGACGCAGAGGAAGTTGCTACCTTCGCGAGCTGTCGTCCATTCCTCGGCAGTCCGGTCTGTCTCATCCCGCTTTTTTTCGGTGGACGCAAGCGGACCGCTCAGGAGCCAATAAATAAGGCAGTTTTCCTACAATTGCTCTCCTTCAAAAAATTGCTTCAAAAAGCTGCAGCAAGAATGATGCGCATTTTACGGCTTGCAATGGAAAACACCCGGTACAGTGGCCATAACCAGCTTTCGAAAACGACCCCCGGCGGTACGGAACTGTTTTGCTAAAACTCACTGTACTCATACAAACACGGGCTTAGTCGGCTGCCAGGAGACCCTTGATTCCCACTAGTCACGGTTTTGGCTCGAATAAACAACGATTGTCGAAACAGGCGAATACCTGTAGAACACGACCAGAAAATCAACAGCGAAGTAGTCTGACCGAAGGTCGCGGTACACGTGGTACGTAGACAAATGGTGCTGCAAAGTCATTTGTCAAGATTTCAAGAAAACCTTCCTCTAACGCTTTATTGTTTTATACAAAAATCACTTCTGGCTTTTGAGGGCTTTGTGGGTCTCGTAGGCAATACGGTCCATATCGCGACGTCCGGCGGAGGTTATTTCGCGACCACTAAATTTGCAATAAAATAAATTAAGGAACTGCGCTCTGGACAAAGAGAGTCTTAGGGTTAGCAGACATACCCGTCAGCCCGTTTCTTACAGAGACCCATGGCCTCAACTTGGTGAAGACAACGGCGCAGTACTGCCGTGCTGGCACGAGCACGGTGGCAAGGACGCACCCCGTTGTTCTTTCGTCGGCTGAAGGCCTTGCTCAGGCCTGCCAAGCCAGCAGGCCGCAAGTATAAATGGCGTAGTACAGCGGCACACCGGACGTAAAACCAGTCCGGATCGTAGGGAGCCTGTTCATTGGCGATTGACAACTTGACGATATCAACCCAATCAGGCTGTTTTACTTTCCCAGACCTATGTTATGAGAAAGCGAAAAATTAATAAACCAGAAAAAGAACTTGTGGTGTGGTAAGTTTGACGGGCGCGCGAAGTAAAATCTTTATCGTACTGAGACGCAAATTTGCCTGAGGAGACTTCGCATAAAGAACCGAAAGTACTAATTCGCTCATTGATTTGTCATTTACTTTTTGATCTGGGTACTGATTACCCAGCGCGTCCACGGGCGGCGGGCAGTGGCACGGTTAACGAAGGTTGGCTGCGAAGCAGCAGGTTGTAGAGTCTGACAAATAAGGTGTCGCGGCCTAGCGGTGATATCGCCTCTAGGGTGAAGAAATTTTGCTACAGCATCGTGGCAATATGGCCGCAGGTAATTATTAACTAAGTCTGCCAGCCGGCGCTGCTCTGCGTTTACGTTTCTTTGCCAAACGCTTAGAGGTCATTTTGTGCCTGTCTGCATTCACCAACCCCAAGAAATCATTTATTTATCGTCGCTTGGCATTTTACAGCTTAAGAACGGCGCTCTGTAGAAACTTGATGAAGAATCACGCTAGATGAGATCTTTTAGATAAACAAATACGAAGAAAACCGCTCTAAAGTCAATTACACGCATTCTAAGGTTTTGCTGAGCTCTTCTGTGCCCTACACCTATCAGAGCAAAGTGGATCGATGCGACAGAATAAATGTTCTGAAGTTTCGACGAGAAAACCCGCCAGACCACTTTGAGCGGCTGTTTAGGTTCCTAACAAATAAACCTGACAGGCCAAATCACCCTACGGCGTCCGAGGCGGTCAGTAAGATCCGTAACCCCGTCCTATTGGTGGAGGCAATTAAGATATATGCTGGACTACGCGAGTGGGGACGTAGCATCCGTTTTGGATGTCTGCATGTGCGAAAATTTCCCGACTGTTACAGAAAACTAGACGGCAGTATTCGCCAATGTCCGCTATCTCCTCGAGGTCCTGTGCAAGAACTCGGGCCTACCAAAAAATCCGAAACCCCAGGACGGGTTTTCACTTCACAGCTGTCAGTGCCACTACCACCCTAATGGTCAGCGTCTTGGCAGTCGGCCTCCCGGGAAGGACAAATTGTCTTTTGTGATGATAAACGAAATAGTAAAGGGCAAATGTACATGTAACCTTGAGAAAATTACAAAGATCTGTCGTCTGGGTCAATGCCACAACTTCAGATGTCGTTGGCAAGATAAAGATACATGCTGACCGCGGCTACAAGAACTGGCGGACAGAGGATGTTGCCGTGATCTCGATGGCTGCACTGGCCAGAATGGGTAGGTCACTCTTCAAAACAATCACTTGATCGACTGCTCTACGTTAGACCGTCAATGCGACAATTGTGACTGCCGAGACCTACGGTGAGTGGTGCTCGCCGATCGTTCTATGGAACGTAGTCGATCGTTTTTGCCTTGGGATTTGACCTAGAGCCCTGGAGGTTGTCGTTGCAATGAGATTACCGGCAAAAAAAGAAGACCGGAATGGCTATTCCTGGCTTATAAGCCGTCATCAGCCCGGTACACCCCAGCCGGAGGTTGGAACTTACGTTCTGTTCGTCAGAGGTCCAATGCCCCAACTATTGAGAGCCATCGTGGGCCGACAAGCCGAGCCCGTGGCCCAGTGATTGGAGCGTTAGATTTATAATCAATAGAACGGGAGTCCGAACCACAGGAGTTGGGTATGGCTGGTTGATGAAGGCCAAAAATGGCCGTTGCGGTCTCCATTGTTTTTGCCCACCACCTTATACTGCTGTGACTTCGGCCGAAACTTTGAGCTCGTCTTCAATACAGTGGGTGGGATTGCGGGAAATGTATAGTCGAGAACGATAACTGTTATTACGAGCCCATCACTTACACCTCAGGCTGAACACTTCTTTTACTGACCTACGCTATGTCGTATGATTCTTCCTGGCAATAAAATCGCGAGCGTGGTTCTGAATTAGGGTAACAAGGCATCTGAAAAGAACGTTCGCGCTGGGTCCCGTACGATTTTCGTCAACATCAGCCCTGTTGTCGTTTGATAATTACGGGGGGACGGCACACCGAGTCCAGTACCGTGCTCGCGGATGATTAAAAGAAGCACGGGAACTACCACAATGGTCTTTAACGTGCTCGCTTGCGGGAAATTCCAAGAGTAGATCGGGGATGAAACTCGACCCGTCCTGTGACGGATTGAACCCCACCGCGGTTACCAGAATGCAAAAACCATCTGCCTCGTTCATCTTGCCGAGATCTTATTCCCATTCATCGGTGGTTTACGGTGTGCAACGAAAGTAGACGGCTGACCGCCGAAGCATAGCCCTTCCAAAGTATTCAACTATCGATCTGGCGTTAGACTGGGTTTTATCCACTGTCAATTCTATCTAACATGACTGGCTGTAATCAAGTCTGCACAAATATGCTGGCCGATAAACACGACTAATATGACTTTGCACTGCTAAGATCAGGCTTTGATGACCTGCAGAACAATGTTCTCCGGCCGCGTAGGGTCGCTGAAGCACTCGATCAGCCCAATATGGTTGCAAAATCAAAGTTTTCGGGACCCAGCTTGAACGAAGGGTCAGCAAGCGTCGTCAACCATTATCGGCTTTAAGTGGGCGGCAACAAAAACCGTGACAAATTGTTAGAATGGATAGAGTACAATACAAAACAACCTACTGAATCGATGGCTAGTGCGTGCAGTGTTCCCTGAAACTTCCGAAGGAGACTCTGGCATGTCACAATTTCTTAATCACTATAAATACCTAGGATGACCCCGGGGTGCGTACAGTACAACCAGGTCGCAATTATTATGCTGCCGCGATGTTTCATTTTATGAGAGGACTAAGATAGGGCAGGGAAGTTCGTCGCCACACCACCACTTCATTGATGTTGTCTAACGATAAGGCCGCGGGATAACTAAGGCCGACGAAGAGACCGGTTAGACACCTGGCTTGGAGAGGGTGCGAGTCCTGGACCTCTGGTATTCGTGGATTAAGAGCTTGGATCAAAGAGTACCATCGACGAGAATGACTACAATCCAGTCGAATCACCCTAACAGCGATGGCCCTACACAGTGCAACGAGATGTGATGCTCCTACGAGGTAGTAATATGAACGTGGTGCGCTGAAGGCACAGGACCGGAAGGCATTGTGCTCCCGCCAATGTCGCATCACCGGACGTAGGCGCAAGCAATCTAAGACATAAGGTTCATATATATAGACGCAGACCGCAAAGCCGCCTCATCAGCGTCAATGCCAATGGCTCTCCACGAGCACACCTGCAGTCGAATGGTGTTTGGTTACTGAGATAGGCGAAGTCGGACGTACAGGCACGCGGCTGACAGGTCATCACATCATCTTAGAATACAATTAATGGCTAAATCGGGACTTGTTTTGGCACCGTGCAACCTGCCTGCACGCCTGTGCTGGCAACATTGTAGCTACATGGTAGAACAGTGCCGTAAAGTAGATGCATAAGCACGAAACAAGTGAGCGTTATCAATAAATAGGAATTGGTTTGC